AAGTACTTTTTGGAGACATATAAAAGATTTTCCTCTAAGGATAAAGGGAAAACATATCAGTTGCTGTTCTCTAGAGCTGGCAAACTGAGAAAAGACATTTGAAACTAAAAATATACTCAAATTCATGAAACCTCTAAGGAGGATATAAATTGTAAGCAAACAGAATGGTCTGCTTTACTATGCATATATACGTATGCAGACACTAGCATACACTTTTATTTTCATTTCATACAACCATTTGGTTCCTAGCATGCATCAAATGAAATCCACATCATCACTAATTTCAGAGATTCCCATTTCATCATCTTGTTCAATAGTCTCCAGGATGATATTTTGGGAATTTGGGTGTTTGTTTTTTTTTTTAGCAGGACTAACTCTGTGCAGAATTTCACAGTGGAATTATTTCCTCTTCTTTCAACTTAATGGCATATATTTTTAGAAAAAAAAGCTTATCTCACTATCATAAAACATGTAAAAAAAATAACTTACAGGGGCAATATAAAATAACTTACGAAATAACTTGCAACTTAATAACTTAAAAACATACACATATGCATCTGTCTTGAATTATTCCCACAGGGTTCACCTTAAATTCTGTAGCACCTTTAGTTTCCCAGGCTTCTCTTTCAGAAGGCTCTTTTTGATCTTTGTTGTCCTCCTTACTGTCTGGTCCACCTGACACTTGCATCTAAAGTGCAACTAATGCAGCTGCACACCACACTACCTCACATTAATAATTGAGTTGGTACTGTTGCTTGAGTCCTGTATAAATTTCTCTGTGGAATGTTGTGAGACCAGGGAATGAGGCCATCTGAACTAGCTCAGCTCCTCAGTGATGTATGAAAATATTTATTACACCCAGGTATCTATATAACGTTTCACCAGCCACTGACATGCAGTTGTGCTCAGAAGTGAAGCAGGGAATAATGCCTAAAGCAGCACTAAAGAAAAGTAAGTTGAGTGAAATGCACACATGAAAATAGAGATAAAATAAAGACAAGTTAGTGTTGGTTAGATGGTACGTGGAAGACCCTGGAGTTACACTTGTGCATTAGCAATCAGGTCATGGATACAAAATGTAACCCAAAATACAGAGTGGTCTTCAAAGAGGTAAAGAGAGTTCTCAAAGAGACAAAGGGGAAGACACAGGATAATTTCAGAGGTCTGCTTGGCTGGTTGTGTAAACAGTGCAGTGGCTGGTTGCACCTGAAGGATGATCACAACCTAGGAACTGGCACCACCAGGCAAGGCTGGCTCCATCTCTCCCTCAGGGCTGGACACTTGCTGGCTCCCCATGGTGGTCTCTGCCTCCCCTGCGAGTGCCTGAGTCCTCGATGTGCTGTAAGCACCAAAGGTGATTGCTGGGGCTTGTTTCGTTTTGCTCAGTATTTGCAAATTTGCTGATGCGGATTGAGCCTCATTCGTTAAAACTAAATGAATTAAAATCACAATTAATAGTAATAAATGAAGGTGTTAGATTGTGGACTTTACTACCTGGGGTCTTTGGCAACTATACATTATTTTAAAACATCATCTGTTGGCTTACTTCCTCTAATCTTGTATGAGAAAGTGAAAGAGATGTTATTCTTTTTAATAAAGAAAATAATATACAGCATATGATACTGTTTTTGAAAATTCATGGCTGCATATGCTACTAATATCAATGATGAACTCAAGGGCTACACTAAAAATAATCAAGATAGTTTAAAAAATAATTACCACTACTTCCTTAGGTTTCAAAGCAGAACACAGAACAGTAAATAAATGAAAAGCAAGTACTTTTCCCAGGAATGTTTTTTACTGTACATTTTGTAGCAAAGAAAAAAAAAGAGAAAATAGAGGAAAAATACTCTGATTACAGGGATGTCATTTGCTAAATCTCCAAGTAGGAAACATGACAAATACAAGATAAAGTACATAGCCATGTCACAATATATCTCTGCAACTTTAAAAAAAATATACATAGAATTTTTTCATGTGTTATTTTCTCTGTGCCTTGCACCCTTTCTGCACACTTTTTACAAAACCATAGGATTTACAAAATCAATGTGCTATTTCAGGATGGTTCCCAGCAGCTGATCACAAATAAACAACAAATGAATGAAAATGCAGTTGCAGTAGCCCCCAGAATGCTGGAAATCACAGTAAAGTTGTTAATTATGTCAAACGGGTGGGCAATGTGCATTTACACAACCATAGCAACGATCCCAAAGCCTAATGTGAGAAACAGTTTACAAGCCCTAAAGAGCTCCTGTTCTTGGTTAGCAAGGACCTTATTGAGGGTGACAGATGAGAGAGCATGGGGACTGGGGGAAAGGCTATCTGTAATGCGGGGGACATATGGGAGACCCCCTTCTCTGAGACAACTGAATTTACCTTGGGTTTGGTGGCTAATTTGGAGCATACCCAATTCCCTGAAATACACAAAATCTTACATTTCCTCTGATGCTACTGATAGAGTTCAGCCATATCATGGTGACTAGACAAAGCTTTTTTCCACAATAAAGTAAAAGTCTGTTGTGTTTTGTTTTCTTTTTTTTTTTTTTTGTCAGCTGAACAGTGACTGTGTGGCTTTTGCCAGAAGCCATTAGTATTAATATGTGAAGAGTTCATGGGAGCTACTTTCATTTTCCCTTTATTTATCCTTTAATAGGAAACCTTGTTTGGTATTTTCCCTATCTATCTATCTATCTATCTATCTATCTATCTATCTATCTATCTATCTTTGACAGCAACACCGCTACAGATATCACTAGCTGCTGCAATCTGCCTTGAGCACTGACAACAGAGACTATGAAGAAGGTGGAAGAAAGAGGATTATCTATTTTTTTAATGTATTAGCCCCTAGATTTTATTTCTCTGAAGACAAAGGGGTGCATTGGAGGTGAGTTATACAGTACATCAGAAATTTGACCTTTGTACATATCCTTCTTTTCACACAGTATCACAGTATCACAGTATGTTAGAGATTGGAAGGGACCTCAAAAGATCATCTAATCCAATCCCCCTGCCGGAGCAGGAACACCTAGATAAGGTTACACAGGAACGTGTCCAGGCGGGTTTTGAATGTCTCCAGAGAAGGAGACTCCACAACCTCCCTGGGCAGCCTGTTCCAGTGTTCTGTCACCCTCACTGAGAAGAAGTTTCTTCTCAAGTTTAAGTGGAACCTCTTGTGTTCCAGTTTGCACCCATTGCCCCTTGTCCTGTCATTGTTTGCCACTGAGAAGAGCCTGGCTCCATCCTCGTGACACTCCCCCTTTATATATTTATATGCACTAATAAGGTCACCCCTCAATCTCCTCTTCTCCAAACTATAGAGACCCAGCTCCCTCAGTCTTTCCTCATAAGGGAGATGCTCCACTCCCTTAATCATCTTAGTTGCCCTGCGCTGGACTCTCTCCAGCAGGTCCCTGTCCTTCTTAAACTCAGGGGCCCAGAACTGGACACAATATTCCAGATGAGGTCTCACCAGGGCTGAGTAGAGGGGAAGGAGGACCTCTCTCGACCTACTAACCACCCCCCTTCTAATACACCCCAGGATGCCATTGGCCTTCTTGGCCACAAGGGCACAGTGTCGGCTCATGGTCACCCTGTCGTCCACCAGGACCCCCAGGTCCCTTTCCCCTACACTGCTCTCTAACAGGTCGTTCCCCAACCTATACTGGAACCTGGGGTTGTTCCTGCCCAGATGCAGCATTCTACACTTTCCCTTGTTATATTTCATCAAGTTATTCCCCGCCCAACCCTCCAGCCTGTCCAGGTCTCGCTGGATGGCAGCACAGCCTTCTGGTGTGTCGGCCACTCCTCCCAGCTTAGTGTCATCAGCAAACTTGCTGATAGTACACTCAATTCCCTCATCTAAATCACTGATGAATATATTAAATAATACTGGTCCCAGTACCGACCCTTGAGGCACTCCACTAGATACAGGCCTCCAACTAGACTCCGCCCCATAGACTACAACTCTCTGGCTTCTCTCCTTCAGCCAGTTCACAGTCCACCTCACTACCCGATCATCCAGACCACACTTTCTCAATTTAGCTGCGAGGATGCTGTGGGAGACTGTGCCAAACGCTTTGCTGAAGTCAAGGTAGACCACATCCACCACTCTGCCATCATCCATCCACCGTGTTATTTCCTCATAAAAGGCTACGAGATTGGTCAAGCATGACTTCCCCTTGGTGAAGCCATGCTGACTGCCCCTCATAACCCTCTTATCCTTGATATGCCTTAAGATGGCACCAAGGATAAGGTATTCCATCACTTTCCCAGGAATGGAGGTGAGGCTGACTGGTCTATAGTTACCTGGGTCCTCCTTCTTGCCCTTTTTGAAGACAGGAGTGACATTTGCTTTCCTCCAGTCCTCAGGCACCTCTCCCGTTTCCCAAGACTTGGTAAAGATGATGGAGAGTGGTCTAGCAATGACCTCTGCCAGTTCCCTCAGCACCCGCGGGTGCATCCCATCTGGACCCATGGATTTATGGATGTCCAGACTGCTCAACTGGTCTTTAACCCGTTCCTCATCGACTAAGGCAGACCGCTCCGTTGACCTGTCTTCATCTGAGGTCTCAGAGGTACAGGACTCTTCAGGACTGCCTCCGACAGAGTAGACAGAGACAAAGAAGGCATTCAGTAACTCTGCCATCTCTGTATCTTCTGTCACCAGGGGACCCATCCCGTTCATCAGGGGCCTACATTGCCTCTGGTGTTAGTTTTATCTGCCATGTATTTGAAAAAGCTCTTTCTGCTGTCCTTGACCCCTCTCGCCAGCTTTAATTCCAAGGAGGCCTTAGTCATCCTAGCAGCTTTCCTACATCCTCTAGCAGCAGCCTTATATTCTTCCCAAGTGGCCAGCCCTTCCTTCCATGACCTGTAAACTCTTCTCTTCCACTTCAGCATACCCAGCAATTCCCTATTTAGCCACGCAGGTCTCCTGACCCTCTTCCTTGACTTCCTACATGTCGGGATGCTCTGATCTTGAGCCCGGAAAAATCTTTCGTCTTGGGGATTTGATGAGACTGAAAACAAAACAAAAAGTGCATGGAAACATATTTTGTGTTGTGGGGAAAAAAACAACTCAAAAGCACTAACAGGGCAAAACAGAAGAGAACTCATTAAATTTGAACCAAAAGCGCACTCAATAACAAGTGTTGTTTTCCCAGATGTCACAGCTAACACCATGAGATTACGCTGAAGAATTTGCTCTGATCTGTCGCTGTGGATGCCCCCTGCCTGCACTTTTGAGAAAGTCACTTGCAATGACAACCAGATATATCCTAGCACAAGTTTTATATCCACAGAAGTGTCCTTCTATGGTTAAAAGAAAAGATGTGCCCTTTAGAAAACAAAACCAAAACAAACCCTGTAAAATTATATTTATGCTGTTAAATGCCTTTTCATCTTCTTTGCTTAATGGTTCACCAAGAGTCTGAATAACTTCTGGAAAACAGTGCTAAATAAAACTGCCAAATTCCTTGAAATATTCACTCATGATTTAGCTGGGGCCAGATAAGAAAGGCCCCATACATGCCTATTCACATTTCATGACCTTCTTTCTCTTTTAATATCCCTGTTACTTATTTGTTTACTTATCTTTTTGGCCAGTACAATGAAAAAATTTCTTTCCCTCTCTTTCCAATGAATGGCCCTGCAGCAAACCACGCTTTATAATACGAGGGGAGAACAGGAGGCGGGGAGACCCTGATTTTTACACTGTGCTTTCCATTACCCACTCTGAACTCCCGAAAGTCCCTTTTACCCCTGTTAGATCATTGTCATCATACTGTAAAAGCATGCCGTTCACCGAAAGGCTTCTCTTTGTCCAAATGTTTGTTATCTTTTTTGGGTAGGTGCAACACTGAGATGTGGCAAAGTCACCCATGTCAAAAGAATGGCTACGTTTAGTTTTGCCCTCCAGAGGCAACATGAGGAGGCTGCGAAATTTGGACTCCGGCTGGCCCAACAGTGGCTCTTTGTCTGAGTGGCAGGCCACTGTGGAAGTTCTAGACTCTGTCATCTCCTCCTTTTTCTGACATTTTAGTTCCAGGGAGGCAAAAGCTCCCATTAGCCGGTCAATATTGTGTTTTGACCTGCAAGGAGGCCTCCACTTACTGGACAATGTGCCCTGTTCACTTTGGAGGCTATAGTCATCACACTCACGGCTGTTTGCAGAGCTGGAGGAAGAGGAGATGCTGCTCCGTGCAGACTGACCAGTGAACTCCATAAGTTCGTTTCTCACCACCACTTTGGGGTTGACTTGGGGCAAGACTCCATTCTGAACTGGTTGGGCTCCATTTGTCTGTGAGTAGACATTGCTGACGTTAGACATCTTGCCCTGGGAATTGCTGCAGACCTTATAGCGGACCATGAGAACTACAATGAATACCAACAGAGTTGCCACAATGATGCCTCCAATGATCAGAATCATGGTCCCACCCAGGAACTGACTGTGCATCGACTGACACTGAGGGTAGTCTTCTTTGGTGAAGAACTGAGCACATCCCACAATATTGGTGGCAGTAAGGGTTGTGGCCGTGTCATCCCACATTGCGAGAACACAGAGGTCATAGCCTGTTCCAGAAACAAGGTTGTTTACAACAAAGGCTTTGTTTGTAGCTGGAATCATCCTTAAAAAAAAAAAAAGAAAAAGGTTACTTTTGACACTAAGGGAAAAGAGAGGAGAACAGACATAAGAACAGTATGGTGTTTTCTGTTCTTGGTATTGGCAGAGAGGAGCAGAGCCATAAAATTCAAACAAGCATTCAGGCTTCCCAACTTCTGTGGGTCCAACATCCCACATTCAAAACCAGTTCTGAGAGACATCTCTCAAATGTGCAATGACAGGAATAGGGAAAAGCAGCCCAAACCAGCCCAGTGTTTCGTCTTTTTTCTCCTCATTTTCATCTGTCTTAATCTTAAACATACTAAAATCTGATCAAATAAAATAAAAATATGTGCCTACAAGGAGTAGTTCTTTCTGAGTGCACAAATGACCCTTGCACTTGCTGAGTCTGAACCTGGCAGTTGTGAGATCACTTCACACATGCCTGAACACTTACTAACATCAGCAGGTTGCTTTCCTTGTGAAGATAACAGTGTTTAGTTTTCCTGTTCACTGAGAATGCAATGCAGGCAATCACTTCACTCTCACACTTGATTTCCCCATCCTGGCCACTGTGGAAAATATCTCCTAGAAATGGAGCTATCATATTCTTTGCCAGAAATTTCTCACTGCAACCACCTTATTCTGTGTGCCTATAAAAGAAATACCAGCATTGGCAGTATGGGCTGTGGAAGTGTGAGAAGACGTAGAAAGATGCAGGGATGGAAAAGAAGAAGGTTTTTTATATTCAAATAGAAACCAAAAAAACACCCCAAACCAAATAGTTAAGCCAAACTCCAAGTTTGGTCATTTATGGATATTATACTTTGCTGCCACAAAACTTAAGCAGCCATTTGAACTCATGCAATATTAGACCATCACTAGCATCCAAAATTAGCAGATAGGAATGAACATGGCTTACCCCCACTTCAAACTGGTTAAAATTGCAGCACGTTAGTGGAATACAGCAGAGAATCCCAGATATGGTGCCTGCTGAGTAGCCAAAAATAAAACCAAAAAGATGTTCCATGCAAGCTTGTCTTTACTTCTACATAACAGGCTTGAGTGAGAGACAAAAGCTGACATTAAAAGCAGCCCATTCTGACTGAAAGCTGCACATATTTAGCACCAGCAACAAGGGAGCCCTACAGTCACACCACACAGCAAGATGGTGTGACTAACTGGGATAGTAAGGCCTGGTAGGAGGAAAAAAACAGACTCTTTGTGGAGTGCCAGGCTTTCTTAGCTTGAAAATGTCATCACAGCTAGCATAAACTGCAGCTCCGCAGAGGCCCTTCTGTGCAGTGTGAGGGATCAGGCCTGTACAGAGGAGCAGCAATGCAAAGATGCCGCATAAATGGGCTTCTGATCATCTTTGCGTTTATGCATTCATACCACTTCCACAATGTTTCAGTCTGGACACCGGTGAGGATGTGGCTCCTTTTTAAAAAGCAAACAAACACACACAAAAAAATCTGTAAGGAAAAGAATGATCAATGAGAGATACCTGGAACATAAGCATCACCTAGCAGGTGTATTCAATGTTACATTTTTGAGGTTCTGGGCACGTTTATCATCCTAATGAATATGGTTGGCATAGACATAGATGAGCTATTCAGAATGAGATGAGAGGTCATAAAGTAACCCTTCTGGAAAACTCCAGATAGAGTTGCTAAAATGGTTTGTAATGGTCAAAATGTTTGGTCTCAAGTTCTTTTTACAGGGACTCCTCTCCCTGTGGCTCTGAGAACAACACACCACTGGCTTCGACAGCTGGGGTCATGCCTGCACTCTGTTGAATAGGTTGAGGCATTTCATATGCACACACCGAAGATGATATATGGAATAACAGAATGCTATCGATCATCAAATGTATGACCTTCACACTCTTGAACAGTTTCACCAATTGCCTTATATCTCCTTCTGTATCACCTAGTGCTATACTCCACCTAACACCGTCACTCCCAGGGATGTGCTTAAAAAATTCTGCAGTGTGCAAGTTGTTCAGAAATCATTTCACTGTAAAAGCTTATTACAAACAAGTAGCACTGTTAGCATAAGCAATAATCAACCCTATAAACTGGGTCTACGACTTGGTTCATAACTCTTGAAAAGCAGAGCTATAACACCATCTGTTAGAGCGATTTCTTTTGTTTTGCACTCATAAAACACAGAGAGACCTCTACATTCTCCCAAATGAACAGCAAACAAACCACTGGATTTACATAGAATATAGCTTTGCATGTATCTTATGTGCATAGAAATGTAGTCTTTCAGACTGTATTTCAGACAGTGTTAACTGTATAGAGTCAACACTAATAACTCCCATCATTTACAATTTGCTTTCTTCTATTACAAATATACACAAGCTACCAAGAAAATGTAACTGCCTGGAATATTTCATGAACTGGCAGGTAGTAATAGTGGTGTGAAAGGTAAAGCCATTCCATTTTAAAATGCACAGTAGTAAGGCCATAGCCAGTCCTAAAGCTTGGCCAGGTTAACTACACTGAAGCTTGCCATAAAAGCTTATCTTAGCCTTTAAAAGAAATTGAGTAATTTCTAAACTCAGTCAGTCCTGGAAGCTACAGCTGTGGTAATACTGGGATTAATAATAGCTTTATAAAAGATCACAGTTGCAATCCTAATTATGGAAAAAGCAATCAACTCTCCATATACATCTAAAATGAAGAATTTTGGACGTTTCCATAAATAAACTTCAAATGTTCTTGTAAAATATTCAAATTAATGTTATTGTCAACAGCTGAGCATAGGAATAAGCCCCAAGTTCAAGACTACTAAGAGTTAAGTAATTAAAGTCAGACTCAGTTTTCTAGCTTGCAGGGAAGACAATCTTGTTTTCATGAAGTTGCCAAATTGTGAGAGTAATTTGGCACTCCTCCATGTTTTAGCCCACCCTTCCCAAATATACTGTCAGCCAGCTATGATGGATGACAATGCTTAACATTCTCACACCTAAAATCAGTGCAGACACATTTTCACTCTGCGATATTGATGACTCTTCAATTGCCCCCAACACAGGTAGCTGCAAGATGCTACTTCAATCTTTGCTTTGCTGCCTAAGAGAGGGAGTCTTTTCATAGCTGCTCTGTACATGTAGCAAGCACCACATGTACAAGGACCACCATGACCTGCCACTGGGACTCACTAACTAAGAGATGCCACAGAATTAAAAGGGGTCATTAAAACTGTGTCTAAGCAGAGACTCTGCAAGGCTCTGTTCATTTCAATCATCAGCTAAACACAAGAAGTTGGTTCCAGGTAGCAAGAATCTATAACCTGGTTCATTGAAATCAAAACTAGCTGTGTCAGGGACAATAGATGGTGATAGTCTGTGGTGAAACACACAAAGGTAGAAAAGTACTGTTTGTCCATTTTGGCTCCTCCCCGGAGAGTTCTGCTTTAGCTGCTCCCCAGAAAGTCCAGCTTTGGTTCCTACCCGAAAAGTTCTGCTTTAGAACTCCCTCGAAAAGTCTCAACTCTCAGAGACCTTTCTAGATATTGCTGGCCAGTTCTTCCGAGGTAGGCCGCCCCCCGGCATTGGAATGAGTGTGCATTTTTGTCAGTATAAAAGCCTGAGCCTCATGCAATGTGGGGGAGGCAGAACCTCATACCACCAAGGTCTATGTGGCCTCTGTGGGGATGCCCGCTAAGGTTGAGCCTGCCACCTCGCACTGTGATGATGATTCTCGGAGCTGGTTTCCTGACCGTTTTCACAGGGTCCTTGGGGTTTGTAACATAACCAAACATCAGAAGCATCCTTTACTGTATCCTTTACTATCTATATTTTCCTATATTAATAAAATAGTTGAGAGTTCTATATTTGCATCTCGTTTTCTCTCACCTGGAATACTCGAACTCTGGAACACTAGCTTTAGAAAGTTGTTAGTTTTTGAAACTCATTAGATCCTAGAACTCACTTTTTATATCCCAGCTAGCAAACATACTTAATTGTAGCAGTATCTTAAGGCAAGGAGCCTGATGTCATCCATCTCTTCAGGGCAGCGTGGTCCTGTGGGGATGCTTCTTGTCACAGAAGAGGAATAGAGATCTAAATTTGATACTAGCCTTTCTTTAAGGAAAAAAAAAAAAAAGCAACAGATGACTAATTGCAAGAGGAGATCAACTAGCAAAACGCTTACTTATAAACCGATAGTAGATTATGATAGGTTTAATGTGCACACTTCCAGTGAGAACTGGAAAAGCAAATGAATATTCAAATATGTTAACAGTGTAAGTGTAAATGTTGTTCTAGCTGGGACAACAGGAAATATGAAAAACTCCCTTTAACAAAATTCACTATCCAGATACTATCTTTCTTGTCTGTTTTGTTTTCTTTGCGGTAGGAGGAGAAGGCAAATCCCCTACACCACTTTAGTGCCAGGAATTTGCTAGCTTATTCTTAAGCTTTCCAGATTCTACCTGAAGGTCAAAATACCCCAAGGAAAACTATTTGTATAAGAATGTGGTTCTTATCTCTCTGAAAATCTTAGCTCTAAGGAACAAAATGAACATAGGAGTCTTACAACTGACCTTAATTTACAAAAGAAGCTCTCTTCTCTCACCCTTTGGCACAATAGCATCACTTATTGGAAAAGGAGGAGACCTATGGCCAGGATTGGAGTATGGCATAAGTGCTTGAAATAGAAAAGCAATAGACAGGTGCTCCTATGAGAGTTTGCATGTGATGAAGTGCTATGAAGCTGAGATGAAAGTTTGCAGGGCTTTTCCAAGTGATACACTTTCTTCAATCCATGGAGATTTACTTCTCATTTTGTGAAAGCACTAAACTGAGAGCATAAGACCCTTTTTAAAGAAAGGATAGTGCTAACACCCTTATTTGAAGTCAACCTTATTTTCTACCACCACCATTAGAAAGTCCTTGCTATGTCCTTGTAGACACAACATATGGAAATCAAGTAATTTTGTAATGATTCACTTCAGGATGCGGTGATATTAAGAAAATTAGAAAATAAATAAGTTAGAAATGGAGGAGAAAAAGGT